AAAGCCCTGGAACAGATGCATTCACAACTGAATTTATCAGACCTACAAAGAAGAGCTGGAACCCATACTGCAAAAATTATTCCATAATATCTAGAAGGAGGGAATCCTCCCCTACTCATTCTACAAAGCCCGTATCACCTTGATACCAAAGCCAGGAAAGGACACACACAAAAAAGAAATTACATGCCAATATCCCTTATGAATATATTAATACATGGCAAAAATCCTCAATAAAATACTAGCAAACCGAATTCAACAGCACATCAAAAAAATAATCCACCATGACCAAGTGGGCTTCATTTCAGGGATGCAAGGATGGTACCACATACATACATTAAAAAAATGTTATTTGTCACATATTACATAAACAGAAGCAAAAACAAAGACCATATAGTAATCTCAATAGAGGCAGAAAAAGCATTCAACAAAATTCAGCACCCTTTTATGACAAAAATCTTCAAGAAACTAGGCATAGAAGGAATGTATCTCAAAATTATAAAAGCCATATATGCTAAACCCACAGCCAACATCATACTGAATGGAGAAAAGTTGAAAGCATTCCCACTAATAACTGGAACAAGACAAGTGTGCTTACCACCACCAATTCTATTCAACATAGTGCTGGAAGTTCTAGCCTGAGCAATCCGCAAAGAGAGAGAAATAAAGGGTATCCAAATCAAGAAAGAAGAGGTCAAACTATTGCTTTTTGCTGATGATATAATCTTAAATCTAGGAAACCCTATAGACTTCACCAAGAAACTTCTGGAATTGATAAATAAATTCAGCAATATTTCAGGTTACAAAATCAATGTACACAAATAGATGGCATTCCTATACACCAAGAAAAGTCAAGGTGAGAGTCAAATTAAAGATTCAATACCATTCACAACAGCTACAAAGAAAATAAAATACCTAGGACTATACTTAACCAAGGAGGTGAAAGATCTCTACAAGGAGAACTATGAAACACTGAGGAAAGAAATTGCAGATGACACAAACAAATGGAAAAACATATCATGATCATGAATCAATAGAATCAACATTGTTAAAATGCCCATACTACCCAAAGTGATTTGCAGATTCAACACAATCCCCATCAAAATACCATATTTCACAGATCTAGAAAAAATAATTCTATGCTTTGCTTGGAACCAAAAAATGAGCCAAATAGCCAAAGCAATCTTAACCAAAACAAAACAAACAAACAAACAAAAAAACAAATCAGGAAACATCATATTGCCAGACTTCAAAATATATCACAGCTATTAGTAACCTAAACACCATGGTATTAGCACAAGAACAGAGATATAGACTAATGGAACAGAATAGAAAACAGAGATATAAAACCATCCACATACAGCCAATTGGTCTTTGACAAAGCAGACAACAATATACACCAGGGAAAAGAAGCCCTGTTAAAAAAAATGGTGCTGGGAAAATTGGAAATCCACAAGTAGAAGAATGAAATAGGATCCATCTCTGTCATCATTCACAAAAATTGATTCAGGATGAATAAAAACTTAAATGTAAGGCATGAATCCATAAGAATTCTAAAAGAAAATGTTGGAAAAACTTTTCTAGATATTGGGCTAGGCAAAGATTTATGAAGAAGACCCCAATGGCAATCACACCAACAACAAAAATAAATAAATAAATGAGACTTGATTAAATTAAAAAGCTTCTGCACAGCTAAGGAAAAAATAGACAGCTTACAGAATGGGAGAAAATATTTGCATGCTACACATCTAATAAAGGGCTAATAACAATAGTCTACAAAGAACTCAAGGAAATCAGCAAGGAAATAAACAACCCCATCAAAAAGTGGGCCAAAGACACTAATAGAAACTTTTCACAAGAATATAGGCAAATGGCTAGTAAACATATGAAAAAATGCTCGACCTCACTAATTATTGGGGCAATGCAAATTAAAACCATAATGAAATATCACCTTGCCCCAGCTTTTATTAAAAAATCAAAAAATGATAGATGCTGGCATGAATGCAGAGAGAATGGAACACTGATACACTGTTGGTGGGACTGCGAATTAGTACAGCCTCTGTGGTAAATAGCATGGAGATTCTTCAAAGAACTACAAGTAGACCTACCATTTGATCCAGCAATCCCACTACTGGATATTTATTCAATAGAAAAGAAGTCATTTTATCAAAAAGACACCTGCAGTCAAATGCTTACTGCAGCACAATTCACAATTGCAAAGATGTGAAATCAACCCAGGTGCTCAAAGATTCATGAGTGGATTAACAAAATGTGGTATATGTATACTGTGGAATACTACTCAACCATGAAGAAAGATGATTTAATTACTGTGGCAACAATTTGGATGGAACTGGAGGCCATTATCCTAAGTGAAATATCTAAAGAATGAAAAACAAACACCACATGTACTTACCATTATTAATAAATTGGATCTAACCAATGAGCAGACATGTGCACATAGGGGAAGTAAAATTCAGTGGAAATCAAGCAGGGGGGAGCAGGGAGGAGGGGATTTGCGAAAACCTAACTATCTGGTTCAATAAACGCTGTCTGGATGATGGGCACACTTATAACCCTGACTCAAGCAAAACAAAATTGATACATGTAACCAAAAACACTTGTACTAGCATAATATTTTAAAATAAAAAAATTCACACACAATACAACTTTGCATTATCAAACTTCTCACAAACACACATACATAAAAGAGCAAAAAAACTGGTTTAATACTACTTTTAATTTAATGTTTTTTACTTTATATAATCCTGCCAGGCAGTTTAAATCCCTGGATGTGAGGGTAATAAAATGATATAGCTAGAAGGAATTCTAGGCATGCAAGATCACTTTTCCTCACCCCTCCTGTTCTCTACTTTTCAAACTACCTGACAATTTTTCCAGGCATTATTTACAATAAAGCTATAATCAGGCATATCAGTATGATGGGAATTTGGCCAAGGTGTGAAGTTCTTTTTAAATAATGATTTTGTCTATAATATGAAAAAACACAGATACTGTATCAAGCAAGTGAATGGCTTACGCTTTTTGAATACTTATTAACAAATTTTAAATATTTACTCTAATAGTAGTACTTCATAATTACGTTTATTAATAAAAAATCAAAAAGGAAAGAGGTGAGAAATATGTTCTGTGACTAATTTTTTCTTTTATGAAAAGATCACTATGGAGTATTAAAAGTATTCACTCTCACTGGTGGCTTTATTTTCTGTATCCTCTCTCTTTCTCACTGTCCTTTCTTGTTTTCCAATTCCTTCCACTCCCATTGCCTTGGCTTTTTTCCTGTTGTCAAATACATCTGCAGATTAATGCCTCCTTCCACACCCCAAGCCTCTCTACAATGCTGTTGCCTTCTCTTCAGGGGTGAAAACTGCACCAATTATCACTCTGAATATTCACATACTTGATAAGACATGGTCTTGGTTAGTTAAGTCCTCAGTCTAATGCCTAAAAAAATCAAAGCGAACAATAAGAGAAGCTTTTCACACTAACAGCCCAGTGGTAGTGCACAGGAGAGAACCATTAATTGGTCTTCATTCATTTGTTCAAAATAAACATGTATTTTGGTGTCACTGTGTGCTTACCAGGTATAATGTACTGGGGATATAAAAAGGTATAAAATTCTAAGGGAGCTTACAATTTCTCTTCCATTTCATTTTTCTTTGAGAAAGCAGGATAAACTTAAGAACAAATAAATGAAAAGTGTTATGAATGAATAACCTGAAGTTAGTATGTGTCATTTTCAAAATGAAATGTCCACCGTAGTCTCTCCACAACATTCATTGTGTTTGGGGGCATGAGGGTTGGAGTGGGAATAAAGCCTTTAGGTTCTAGAGTTACACTGCTGGCTTCAACTTCTGGCTTCATCATTTATGTTCTGCAAGATGGGAAGATTGATGAGGGGGCGATTTTTATTTGTTTTGTTCACTGATACAGACTAAGTGCTTGAAATAGCAGGTGTTCAAAAATGTGGATGGATATTCGTTGAATGAAATGTGAACTTGATTTGTCACTTAACCTTGTTTCCTTGGTTTCTTCATCTGCAAAATAAGGCTAACAAGAGCAACTACCTAGTGAAGTTTTGAGCATTAAATGATAACATAAATTGTAGAAAGATGTCTGGCAAAGATGCTCAGCAAAGATACCCAATAATTGTCAGCTCTGGAGCTATTCAGTCACCGTTTATTGGGCGGGTACTTCCTGGCAGGCACAGTGATGGATACATGAGAATGATGCCAACAGACACAGTCCTTACCTTCTAGGGGGAGCAAGGGACGCAGACAGAAACAAACACACATGCAAAAGGATAATGACAAATTGTGAGGAGTGCCAGGAAGGAAAGGGAACAGGGCAGGTAATAGTGAGGAGGGCATCACTTGGATTTGGAGTCAGGGAAGGTGTTGTTGAGGAGCAATATTTATATGGGTACCCAAGGGTTGAGAAGAAATCAATCCAGAGTGAGTAAGGGGAGGACGCCATAGAGAAAAGAAAGAGGGATGCACAGGTGGAAGCTCCAAAGCAACAAAGAGATCAGTGTATTCAAAGAGACGTGTAGCAGAAGCATAATGAGGGTGGAAAAGAGATGATTCTGGAGAGGGAAACAGAGGCCAGATCATGCAGAGCCTGTAGACCAAGTACTGTGTGTGCTTTTTGTCTTCAGTGCAGTGGGAAGCCATTGAAAGATTGTAAACAGGTGGTGATTGTACACCAGTTGTGTGCAATAGATGGATTAAAGGAGGGAGTTAGAAACTATTGCAGTGGTCAAGGCAAGGCTTGGTAGTGGTTTGAATCCAGTAGTGGCAGTGGTGATGGAAGAGAAATGGGTGGATTTGAAAGAGTTTTTGGAGGTTGAATTGATAAGGCATATATGAAGCACTCCATAAAGGCTGCTATTTGTATGCACCAGGCACTATACTAAACAATTTACATACATCATTTAATTTACTTCTCACCCAATAACCTAATATTTTATTAATCTCACTTTACAGATGGATAGGAATCACAAATTCATGATTCAAACACAGGCCCATCAGGCTTGGAAGTGCAGGCACAAGAGTCAGCCAGCATGTCCTATTATTCACCCTTCCCTGGTTCTTGCCAGAGAGGTGAGAACTGGAGTTTGGGGCCAAGAATTTCAAGTGAGATAAGGTAAGCAGTTGTTGGAGAATGTGAAAGTTTTCCCAGAGGGCCGATGTTCAACACCAGGCCCCTTTGCTAGGGCACCTGCCAGTTGTCCCTCTGTGTGTGTGTGTGTGTGTGGGGGTGCTATGAATAATAACTAGTTTTGACTATCGTTGTATTCTTTTTTTTTTTTTTTTTTTTTTTTTTGAGACAGAGTCTCACTTTGTTGTCCAGGCTAGAGTGAGTGCTGTGGCGTCAGCCTAGCTCACAGCAACCTCAAACTCCTGGGCTCGAGTGATCCTTCTGCCTCAGCCTCCCGAGTAGCTGGGACTACAGGCATGTGCCACTATGCCCGGCTAATTTTTTTTTATATATATATATCAGTTGGCCAATTAATTTCTTTCTGTTTATAGTAGAGACGGGGTCTCGCTCTTGCTCAGGCTGGTTTTGAACTCCTGACCTTGAGCAATCCGCCCGCCTCGGCCTCCCAAGAGCTAGGATTACAGGCGTGAGCCACAGCGCCCGGCCTATCGTTGTATTCTTAGCACCTAGCTGTGAGCAGACATTTAATAGATGCTTAATGAATGGATGAGTGAATGAAGAAATTAATAAACGAATGAGGAAAGCAATACACAATATTACATATCTGATTAAAAGGAGATCATTAGCTGATGGAATCATGGAAAACCAGTGAATCCTCCAGCTGTTGTGTTAGCGGCAAACAACTCACACTGCTCCTCTCTAGAGAAGCACTTTGGGCCAAATAGAAGCTGTCAGGCCCTAGAGCTTACCCTTCTGTTCCTCTTCCAGTGACTGACCCATAAGTGATACAAAGGACCTGCCCCTGGCCTCGAGGTGGAGACAACTCTGGTGGAATCTGCTTGCAGAGCTTCCTGTGGGATTGGACTCTTGCTAGCCTCCAGCTGACCCCACATCCTTGCTTAGATTTTTCTCCATGCTCCATCCTACTTCTCACACTTCTCTTCTCCAGAGAGCACTCCCTGTCAATAAATCACTTGAACAAAAATTCGTATCTCAGGTTCAGCTTCTAGGGAACCTGAAGTTAGATACCCAGTGGCCTCAAAAATGATTTTCTATAGCTGTTGTCTCCAAACCTATGTCCACAAAATAAATTATAATAAGCACATGCCCTCTCTGAATTTATTTATGTGTAAACTATATACATGCATTCCTGTACTAGTATATTATGTATTGTAGATAGACTTCTGTTTGCCTCCCAGTGCCTGATATTCCCCTATCCCACATCGGTAGCTAGTGTAGCTGGGGCCATGGATACCTAGGGAAGCACTACACTCCTCTGCCTCCCTTGGACTTATGCCTGGCTGTATGACCAAATTCTGGCCAATGGGATATAAGTGGAATTGTATGAGAAATTCTGTAAACTTCCTTCCTTAAGAAATAGCTGGTATTTATCTTTCACCCTTATCATATATTTTAAATTACAGTTTGGGCTACACTGTAGGGATGGCAGAGCAGAGAGATGGAAAGACTTGGTTCATGGGTGTTTTTGCAAAGCAAGGTCCACCTACCAGGCCTGGGCTGTATATCTCTAGACTTTTATATGAGAGAGAAAGACTCTTATGTTGTTAAGGCTACTCCTGTCTTTGTTTTGTTGTTATTTGCAGCCAAACTTAATCACCCCCATCCCCACCAGACTTTAACATCTCTCTGAAATCTGGATGATTTTAAACAATTAATGGCATCTTACAATTATAGTATTCTTATCTTTCTTAGTGGAGCATACAATTATATTACCTATTTTAATTGATGACAACTTATATTTGATAAAATAAGGTGACACATTATAATTTGTAATACTCAACATTGGAAAATATGCATAAAAACAAAAGTGAAGACACTGTGATATACAGAAAGTAAATATTTAACTACACTAATTTAAAATTTATTAAAGTTATACAAGTTACTAGCCCTTGTAATATATTTGTAGAGAACAATGTGATGAGTAAGTTTCAATAGTTTTAGTTTTTGATTTATTTATGAGACATGGCCATTTCTAAATTCAGTTTACTTAAGTACTTGGTATTATTACATGTCATGTTTGAGAAGGCACCTCACAAAGATATATGCATCTAAACTGGTGAAGTTCAAGATGGGCTACACTTACTAAATCTCAATATTCATTATTTAATCCCAACTAACAGTGAAGCCAAAGTTTTTGCTTAAAGCCAGCTCATAAATTTTCATCTTCCCTTATGTCAGTCAGTTGTTTTTACAAACTAAACAGAAGGTGTTGCATTTTTACATTTGTTTAAATTCAACATAATTTTATTTAAAAGGTATTTTTTAGGTTAGAAATTTTTCTCCAACAGTTTTAAATATGCAGATATGCAAGTTTTTAAAAATACAATATATACTTACATTATTGTTGTCAACAAAAACACAATCCATGGAAATATTTCCAGACATCCACTTTGACAAGCCAACTTTGTAACGTAAGTCTCTTTTGCAAAGCAGTTACATTTTTCACTTGTTGGCTGCCTTCTTGTCAGATTTGGTGAGACTGTCATTGTTTCTCCCTTGTAATGTGGCTAACAGATTTTATCAGATGCAAGAGAAAAATTAGTTCTGCCATTTCCTTGTTCACTGTGCCTGCATTTTTAATACGATATCCAATGTGTGTGTGCATGTGTGTGTATGTGTGTGCATTTTTGTTCAGGAATAATTTAAAACCAGTTGTCCATTTTCTGAAGATTATTTTAATCAAAACAACATAATTAATACAAGTGTTTTCTTAAGTCAGTCTATCTATATTTCAATACTCAGTAGTGTGAGTAACACAGGAGGACGGGGAGGGGTGCCACAGTTGGCTGCTCCAATGGTGTTTTCCAGGCTACATGTCTACATTGTAGCATGACAAGTAGACTAGGTGTGGGTGCAGCTCAACATTAAATAGAACAATTAACTATTAGTAAAGTCAGTTCTTTTTCTTGGTTTTAGATAAAAATTAAATACTAATGAGTTTTAAAATATTTTCCCCACTGCTACTGGATTGATTGCCTATTATCCTTCTTGGGGTTAAAACACTCTATCTTGGAAATCTTGGTTTATAAGATAAATCCCTTTGCCTTGCATTCATGGCCCTCACCAAAGTGCTTTCTACCCACAACTCCATATTTATTCCTCATTTCTCTCTTTGCAAGCCTCCAGAATCCTTTAATTCACCTTCTTGTTTTTTCATGACATTTGGCATAATAGTGCAGTGCTTCTCTAACTTTCAGGTACGTACAAATAACTTGGAGGTCTGGTTCAAATGAAGATTCAGAATCAGTATGTCTGGGGTGGGGCCAGAGATTCTGCATTTCTAATAAGCTCCCAAGTGATGCTGATGCTTCTGGTCTGTGGATGGTTTTGAGTAAAAAAAAAACAAAAAAAAACTAGGAGAAAATACTGTCAGGAATACATTTTAATAATTCCTTAGTATTGGGAAAGTCACACCTTGAGCATCAGCTTTTTAACACCTATTCTGCAGGGTCCATTCATTCATTCATGCATTGGACAGATATTTATTGAGCAACTAATATGTATCAGGCATCACACCAGTTGCTAACATTATTACATTACTAGATTGGATGAATCCTATTGGATTTAGGTATTAAGGAGCTAAGTCTAACGGATTGTTGAGTGAATTAAATGACTCACCATGAACAGAAGCAGATACCAATATATTTATATGTATATATATTTAAGTAGTAAGAATACACACATACATGTGTGCATTCAAGTAATATGCACCCACACATATATTTACACACACGTGTGTTTCTACCTGAAGCCTTTGGTCCACAGTGGCCCTTCAGGCTGCAACACTCTGCCTTCATCTGTTTGCTTGTCTGATGCTACCCCACTTTTTTTGCATCTAACCTTTCCTTATCCCTCCAAACTGAGCAAACATTTTTTCTTAACTTTTGTACCTATTATTTTGTCCACCATTCATCTGGTATAAAGAAAATGCTAAAAAGGCTATTATTTCCTTTTTTCAGTAATAATGCTTTATTTTTTAATCTCTTTAAAAGGGAATAGATCGTGCCTCATACCTTTTGAAATGCAGTTCATGAAACTTGGAAGAAACCCAATCAGTTTTATCAATGATATTACTTTTAGTTTTTAAATGTTATATAAGATGATGGCTAACTGTTGACTCAGATATTCTGTGATTTCTTTTTCGCTTATTCATAGGCTTTTGGTTAAATGGTATTTTGTTCATAAGTTATAGTATTTATTTGATAATATTGGAAGAACTTAAATGTATACATTAAATATGACAAATATTCAAGAAACTATAATAAAAGAGACTTTAAATAAGACATTGTTTTAATGGTCAGCCATTCCAGTCCATTCATTGTTCTGTCATGGTTCCTTGAAGATAAAGCTCACATTTTATACTTGGAATAATTCAGAGTCCTAACCTTTCTTTGCTATGTAGCAATCACTAAATAGCTATTGAAAAAAAAAATATTAGAGACACTTTTAATACATTAAAATAAAAGGTTTCAAGCAATACACAAAATTATTTCAGACTAATAAAATAATTAAATCTCATGCTTTCTCCCTTCTTCCTTTATTTTTTGTCATATGTGAATATAGTACTGTCACTATGCTGGCATATCCAAGGAGTCATATAAACTTTCTTTTTCATTTTATTGGCTATGTTTATCTTTTCTCTCTCTCTCTTTTTTAATTTCAGCATATTACGGAGGTACGAATGTCTAGGTTACATATATTGCCTTTGACTCACTTAATCTGTGCCTCTTCCAGGTGTCTTTTATGAATCCTCTTTGCGGTTGTGGTGGGAACAAAAGCCACGAGAGGGTTCTTCACTCATGACACACACTTTCCTCACTACAAGAACATCTGAAAATTCCACATTGAGGCTAGTCTACATAATCTTTTTTGGTTCAGAACCACAACAGATATCTGGTTTATATCTGGTTAAGAACTGGTGAGGGCATGGCTCTTTCATTCTCTTAAAAATAATGACACTTTAAAAATGGGTGATACCTGCGTATAATGAAAAAAAAAGGCATCTAGAAGGCTCTAGAGTGAAATATATTTCTCAGTCCATTCTGACTTTTGTCAACCAAAATTCATAGCCCAGACAATTCTTGCTGCCAGTTCTCATGTATTCTTCTAGATCAGTTAGCGATTGACACATAACAAACCATCCCAGACATAGTGGCTTAAAAATAGAAAGTATAGTTTCATGAGCCAGATGAGCAGTTTTCTAGACACAGCTGAGCTCCCTCCTGTGTCTATGGTTAAGCGGGTAGGCTGGGCCATGGCTGATCTATGATGACCTTGGCTGGGACAGGTGAAATGACTAGGATCTGCAACGTGGACTCTGTTCTTTCAGCAGGTGAAGTCAGACTTGTTCTCACTGTGGCAAAGGCAGAGGGATCTGATAGAAAGAGAAGCACAAGAGGCATCCTGAGGCCTAGGTTCTGAACTGGAAAACTGCTACTTCTGCTACATTCTATTATAATAATTAAGGCCAGCCCAGGTTCCAGAGGCAAGACAATGGATAGATTCCACCTTTCAATGGAGGAGCTGCAAAATCACCTTGAAAAAGGCATGGATACAGGTAGGGCTAAAAGATCAGGGATATGTATATGAATTTTCTTTTTTCCCTTTTATTCATCTTTTTTGCTTTAAATATTAATAAACTAATGTGTATTGACCACCTGGTGCAAGGCAATATTTTAGACACTTTTCTTGTATTAGTTTATCTAACACTCCCCTAAACCCTAGATAGATACTTAATTCTTGTTCCCATTTTATAAGTGAGGATGCAGAGATACTCACTAACTTGTTCAAGGTTACCAGCTAGTAGGAGTTGGAAGTGGGATTTATTCAAATAGACTCACTTCAGAATCTGAGTTCTTACCATTGTGTACACTGCCTTCTGTGGACCAGGTAGCATATGATAACATACTCTACACATTATTCTGCGTTTTGTTTATTCGCTTAGAAAAAAAATCTTTGAGATTGTTATGTATCAATACATAAAGGGTTTCCTCATATTTTCAATGAGCATAAATACTTGGTTGAATAGATATGTAGA